ATCATTTAAAAAAAAAAAAAGGATTTTTGCAAGCCCTATTTTTCCCGACGACAGCAACCCTTGTCGGCATCCTCTCCAAACGAACGACACTGTCCTCACCGCAAGCAACCGCCATGCAGCAACCGCCGAGCAACAACGATCGCGAGCCCTCCTAGCCGCAGAACGTGCAGCGATCCCTCCTTGTCGTCGTCGTCGAGAACGTCGTTGAGAATGTGCACGCTGTCGTCGTCGTGTTACTTGAGCCGCGCCAGAGGCCAGCCACACGCTTCACCCTAGGAGATCCGAGAATCGTTCTCCATGGAGTCGACGAGGGAGAAGAGGAATATATTCCAGAGGATGATTTCTTCAATTATCGCCAGCGTCCTCTAAAGAGGGTTTCGGTGTCGCCATGATTAGGGGAAGATGATTGGTTGGTTGCAGAAAAATTGAATTTTGCTTCAATTTTTTAAGGTATTGGACTATGTGTAGATCATTTAGTATGTTGAAATTCGCAGACTTTGGATTCGAGTATATGTACAGTATATCTATTATATGTTCATGGAAATATATGTTGTGTGTATAGGCATGCAATATATGTTCACAGCAATATATGTTGCGTGTATAGGCAAACAGTATATGTGGTGTGTATAGGGAGTATATGTTCAGTATATTAGAAGATTGTTTTGTAAACTGTTCAGTATATGTTGTGTGTATAGGGGAGTATATGTTCAGTATATTAGAAGATTTTTTGTATAGAGAATATAAGTAACCTGTTATAATATGTTTATACAATATATGTATACTTTTATGTATAAAAGTTAAAAAGAAAAAAAAAAAACAAGAAGACATAATTTTTTATGGAAGACATGTTTTTCATTGCAACATATACTAATATATACTAACATATAACCACCTGGACAGCTGCGTGAATTACAATACATGTTTTTATCTCTCTTTATATTAAAAACGTACAAGCTGCGTGAATTAAGGAATTAAAGGAGCTAGTTATTTATTATATGCATGTTTTTCATTTCTCTCTTAATCAAGCCCATAAAAAGGGAGGATGGAGGTTGAATGAATTTGGTAACTGACTTTAGACATTAATGTAGTTATATATTATCTAGAGAAATGCTAAAAGTACATAATACTCTACATAGAGGTGTACATAACACTCACATTAAGTGGGTCCTACCAAAAATAAAAAATCAAGTGGAGCTGAGACTCTCAGGATTTCTCATAGCGGGTCCCCACTCTATGTGAGTGTTATGTACACCTCTATGTACATTTATTATGTGCTTGTAACATTGTTCATCTATCTATTAGGTAGAGATGTAATTATTTGTTTATGAATTGTATTTTTACAATATTTTTAGAATCTTATAGGATAGATAAAAATTTTCCTAAGGCTCCGTTTGTTTGAGGGATTTGAAATCCATTGATTTCAAAATTTTTGAAATATAAATTTTTTTAGTTGCACACTCCTTGAATGGACGTGTTGAAAATATTATAAATCAATTGTCTAGCTCGCATCGATGATGTTGACTCGCGGTGGTGATGAACCTAAATGATCGCCGACGGCGTGGTCGTCAACGGTTATAAATAGTGAATTTTAAATGACTAGGTTTGAGGAGTCATTTAAAATCCTTCAAAATAATGACTAAAAAACATCTAGCATGAATTTGAAATCCTCCAACTTTCATTATCATCCCAACATGCATGCATGGTGATTTGAACTTGTAAATTTGAAATCTATAAATTTCAAATCCCTAATCTTTCGATCCAAACTTAGCCTAATTGTTTTGTGTGAAGGCTAAAGCTGAAACTGGCCCATATCAGATATGGACGCCTAACACAACTCTGGGCCTCTGCCCCAAACCCCTAGTCAACTAGCTCGAGCGGCTGGTTAACCAGTCTTGGCCGCAGGTTTTCGGACTCATGTTTACACCCACCCCAAATGATGTCGCTCGATTTGCACGTCACACGATAATCTAAAACCCCTTCTCGAAAAGCAGTTAACTTAAACCCTAGCCGCCTTCCTCCGCCGAGTCCTCTCTCTCTCTCTCTCTCTCTCTCTCTCTCTCTCTTACTCAGGCTCGCTGCAATACGAAAATGGATATTGATCAAAGCGGCGGAGCTGATGACGAGTCCTCCAGGCAAGTACAGGTCCGTTTCGTTACGAAGCTAAAACCTCCGTACAAAGTGCCGCAAGCTTCTATCTCCATACCAGCCAACCTCACTCGTTTTGGCCTTTCTGCTCTCGTCAATAATCTCCTTCAAGCCGGTAGTTTTGTTTTTCCCAAGATATCGTATGTTATTGCTTGCGGTTGAAAATGATAGAAATTGATTCGAGTCAGAGACAGATTCAGTCACATATTGTTGATTTCGTTGTCATTCTAATTTAATCTATCAGCAAATGAGGATTGGGAGTCGGAACCATTCGATTTTCTCATCGATGGAGAGCTGGTCCGGATGTCGCTTGAAGAGTTTCTTCTTGCTAAAGGCATTTCTGCTGTAAGAATTTTTTCGATATTGGGGCCTCGTGCTTACTGGTGTATGATCGATTTTAGGTGTTCAAATTAAGATAAAAAATGTTCATAATTTGCGACAATTTTAAAACCATTAGAAATTCTTTGGGGCGTTTGAATTAAGGTGTTCATCACTGGTTATCACCTGGTTTTTTATGACAGGATTGGTGTTTTCTTATGTGTCTATGAATGTATTCTTTGATTTCTCTTTCAGTAATTAGTAAAATAAACCGTGGTTGTTGGGGAAATGACTTTTGGAATAAGTCCAGCTCGACTTGATGCAGGGATTTTATTTCCCTTCTCTTTCTTAAATGACTGCAGTGTTTAATGTATACTTACTGAATAATCTATGTCCTGTTACAGGAAAAAGTACTTGAGATTGAATATTTTAAAGCTGTAGCTCCAAGGAAGGAAGACGAACCTTCTTTGCATGATGACTGGGTTAGTGCAGTTGACGGTTCCAATGACGGGTATGTTTTTTTGTTTGATGAGAATACATTACATGTGATTGAATATTTTTTTATGTGAACATAAGTTCTAGTTATCAATTTGATACAGTAGGCATTATTGTCAAACTATAGTTATGCATACTGCTGAAATCCTAACTTTCTGTTTATCTTGTAGGTATATATTGACAGGATCCTATGATGGTTTCGTAAGGTAACTCCACCAAACTGTCACTCTTACTCATTTAACCATTTTTATTTTGGTCCGCAGTTCCATAATGCAGTATCATTTTGTTTACTACATCATAGAATATGGAGAGCTGCTGGGGTATGTACCCATGAACTAGACGGACATTCTGGCCCAGTTACTTCTGTTTGTAATGTGACACCAAAGGGTACTGAGGATTCTGTTTTACATTATATATGAGCTGTAATTAGTATTCTGTGATGACTTTTGGAATAAATTTTTATTTGTTTATACATTTTAATATGGATGCCATTGTTTCTGTGACTGTTTATGAGAGAATTTTTTCTTACAGCTGTTTGTTTATATTGTTTCCGTGACTGTTTATGAGACAATTTTTTCTCAACAGCTGTGAGTGGCACTGATCGGATTGTTGCTTCTGCTTCTAAAGACAGGACATTAAGATTGTGGAATGTATGTGATAATTTTTTCTTGTCGATGTGACTCTTTTCTTTCTTGTTATAGTTTATGCCAAAATGTATTTCCTGATTCCTTTCTTTTCCAAAAGTTTGCTGCAGAGGAATCACTTGATCAACCAAAGAAGATTAGAGCCTTTAAGATATTGAGGGGTCATACGGCTGCTGTTCAGACCATTGCAGCGGAGCCTTCTGGTGATATGGTATTAACTTTTGCGTCTTAAGTCCTTGTCCAGTACGATGTAATTAATGTAAATGAACTTGAAAACCTGTGTGACACTTCTCATATCTCATCAGGTATGTTCCGGCTCATGGGATTGTACTGTCAACTTGTGGAATGTAAATGCTTCCGAATCCAATGGCGGTTCAGTTTCTGTGAAGAAGAGGAAAACGAATGGTGAAGATGAGGAGCTTCAGTCTGAGGTAAATTGTTAAAATATGTATCCTTAATTCTCTGGTCATCTTTCATGTTGCTTTTTTAAAAGAGAGCAGTTTTCATCTGGATTACTTTAAAAATTTGAGGTCACAGTGTCTATCTCATATACCATAATATGAGGTGAATGCCTAAAATGGATTAATGTATATTTTCCTTGTTTACCATTGGATTATTGAATAAAGAGCCTTTATCTGTGAGTGTTGAGGCAGAAATCTTTCTCAACTCTACCAGTGTACCTGCATAAAATGCAAATCGCGTCGCTATTTTTTTCACTGTCAGGAACAGTATTTATATGTCAGGTGGATATGAATATAACTTTAGCACAAACAATAAATTTTGGTCCTATGGTCATCATCCCTATGGTTTACAGGGAGAGGCTATAACAACATTGGTGGGGCATACACAATGTGTATCTTCTGTTGTCTGGCCCGAACGTGGAACAATTTATTCAGCATCGTGGGACCATTCTATCAGAAAGTGGGATGCCGAGATAGGCAAAGATTCATTAAGCATGGTGAGTAAACTTTTGCTTCTATAACCCTTTCATTACAGAACATAATTGATAATCTCATACAGTGTGCATGCAACCATTAACTTCCTTTTTCATTTTATTTTCAAATTTACCCTTTTTATTGTATCTATCTTTATTCTCGACATTCTTCTCTTTCTTTCTTTATTTTTTTCGTTCTTTTTTTTTTTCGGTATTGATTCTGGGCATTCCGTTTACTTGTCAAATGGTCAAAGTGATTCCTGTTATGTGGGTACTTAAGTAAATTTTTTGGAAACTTTAGAAATATGATTCCAAGTCCTTCCAAAATCCTATTACCTTGATGCAAGATTGAAGTAACTTTGAGAAGTATATGCCCACCTGTTTTACTTGCATGTTTCTTACTGAAAATGTCTTTGCTTCTAAAAGAGAACAATGTCCACAATTTAGTATTCTAGTAAATGGTTCTCCAGTAATAGAAGGTGTCATCTATAATTGACACATTTTTCCTTCAAATAGTTCTGTGGCAAGGTCATCAGTTGTCTAGATATTGGAGGTGAAAGTTCAGCCCTTGTTGCAGCTGGTGGTTCTGATCCCGTTATCCGAATATGGGATCCTCGAAAGCCAGGTCTCTCTCTCTCTCTCTCTCTCTCTATCTCCAACTGCCATTATTCATCATTGTCTTGTCATTTCTTTTGGCAGGAACTTTGTCTCCTATATTCCACTTTTCTTCTCATAATTCTTGGATATCTTCTTGCAAATGGCACCCTAAATCTTGGTTCCACTTGGTCTCTGCATCATATGATGGAAAAGTGATGCTGTGGGATCTGAGAACTGCGGTTTGTATTTAAACTTAATTTACTTTTAAATTACTGATTTATTTCATTCATTGGTATCTGAATCCCCTATCTTCTGCAGTGGCCACTGGCTGTGATAGACACACACAAGGACAAGGTACTTCTCTTGAGTTCTGCAGATTTGAGTTTTTGTCTTATGCACACACACACACACACACACGCACGTCGAAAAATAAATGATATTTTTAATGTAGGTTTTTAGTGCTGACTGGTGGAGACACGATAGCGTTATTAGTGGTGGTGCTGACTCGAAGCTTCGCATTTCTTCTGGAATATCAGTGATGTGATTGAAGGTATGCTTTCTTTGACTTCTTATTATTGCTGTATATAAGGTGATGGAAACATAAAAAATTTGTGTAGCATATGTGTACTTTTCCGTCTGGTTTGTTCACTATGGGAGTCTGATTTTGGAATTCAGATATGAACCTCTTATGTATGGTTTGAAAATTGAATGGAACTTGTTCGCTAAATGTGTGAAACTGCCATATCTTGGTTTGCGTGCAGTTAATAATATCAATTTCACTGTAACTGTAAACAATTAATCATATCCAGTCTCCTAAAAAGTAAGATTACTCAAATTTATCCATAAGTTTAACAGACTCTCCATACAAAGCATTAGGAATAAAATTACCAATATTATGGTACAGGTTCACTGAAGATACCATGCAGAGGTTTGTATCTATCTTATAAATACCCTCTCTAGGGTGTCATTTGAAAACTAGAAATGAAAATGAAACGGTGTATATCTTGATTTACGTATTACTGCTAGCTTAGCACTTTTCTTTTGTTTGGAAACAGGATTGTACGAGATCTTTGCTGGTGGTTGATGGAATCTAGCACGTTATATAAGTATATTCCCCTAAAGGGTTAATATAGCTGTATAATACTGCGAACTTGCAACATGAATGATCCCTGTTCCCTTAGTGTTTGCCAAAACGTTATGACCTCAGAAATCCAAATGCCAAGAGAATTGAGGCTCAAAGTCGAAACATTGAAGCTGGATCATAATTGGCTGGCGCTTAAAGCTGAAAGCATCTATGAGCTTCTCACAATTGGGGTGTGGTTTTATTATTTCAAACAATGAATTAATTATATGAGCATTCAACTTTGGATTCCCATAAATATTTTCGCTATATTTTTGACTTTGTTAAAGAAAATTGATTGTCTTGCAATGTAGGCAGCGAACTCTTTGGTTTGACATTAATTTTCTTGAAACAAACAGGACATTTGTTGATGCCCTAGATATTTCTAGTTACTGACGATTGGTCCTGTCGGATTTAGCTAGATTTGCATGAGAAAGGTTCTCTATTTTTTGTTTTCTATATTTAATTTTTTGGACTTTGTGAATGAGTAGATTACGTAAACCATAGATTATTTGATTATTTGATTACAAAGTGCCCACTAGTTTAATATATTCTGTTACACACGTTTTTGTTTGCAGCTTTTGCTTAGTCCTTATAGACAATCAATATATTTAAATTGGATGATAGGATTATGGGATGCGGTTTTTGACATGGTTGAATTAAAAAGGGGACCCTTGTTGATTGTAATCTATCAGATTTTCCTTTTCGGGGAAGCTTATTCACTTGGAATAATAAAAGGAAAGGGACAGACAATATTCAAGCTCGGCTTGATCGGTTTTTGGGAAACTCTAAGTGGGTCGATTTATATCCAGAAGCGCAAACCGAACATCTTCCTTTTAAGGCTTCGGACCATCGGTCAATTGTTTTACGGTTGTCCTATCCTTGTAACGTTGGGTCGTACATAGGTCGTCGTATGTTTAAATTTGAACCATTCTGGACTCGAGAGAAAGGTTTCAAGACGCCGTTCATTCAAGTTGGAATAAAATTAGCTCGGAGCTTTCTACTGGTGATCAACCTTTTAATCTTGTGTGTCGGAAATTATCAGAATGCAAATACAAATTGATAGCTTGGAATCAAAAATCTTTTGGCAATTGGAGAAACGAGTTAAGAAGGAAGGAATCACAACTTAGTAAACTTCTCGAATCTCCAAATTCTGAATCCCTCATGGATCAAATCAAAATGCTTGAAAGCGAGATTACCCTCTTGACGGCCCGTGAAGAAAGTTTTTGGAAACAACGAGCCCGGGTGGATTGGCTTAAGGATGGAGATCGCAATACAAGATTTTTTCATGTTAGGGCTAAAGCAAGGTATAAGACTAACCGCATTGAGAAGATCAAGGACGACCAGGAGAATATCATTTTCGATCAGGACAAAATTCAGCAGCATGTCATAAGATCCTTCAAGAATCTGTTCTTAAGCAGTGATCCTTCACAGTCGGACATTGATTTTATCACTAGCTCAGTGGAGGATGGTATTTCTTCAGATGACTATTCAATGCTTGATGCCCCTTTTTCAGCGGAAGAGGTTGAAAATGCTTTGATGAGCATAGGTCCATATAAAGCGCCTGGAATTGACGGTTTTCACGCTGTGTTCTTTCAAAATAATTGGAAACTCATGAAAAATGATATTTCGGAAGCATGTCTTAAGGTTCTGAATGAGGGCCAGTCGGTTCAGGAAATTAATGAAACTATTGTGGTGTTGATCCCGAAAAAAAAGAACCCATCCTATATTACTGATTTTCGTCCCATCAGCCTATGTTCAGTGGCATACAAAATAATTTCAAAAACCATTGCGAACAGACTGAAAAGGGTGCTGGGGCCTTTAATTGCCGAGAATCAAAGTGCTTTTGTTCCTGGACGCTCTATTTCTGATAATGCTATTCTAGCATTCGAAATGCTTCACTCGTTGTCCAAAATATATTCAGGGAGGACAAATTGGATGGCGCTCAAGTTGGACATGAGTAAAGCTTATGACCGGGTCGAATGGAAATTTGTAGATGCAATGCTTTCAAAAAAGGGCTTCCCACCTCGGTTCAGGACATTGATTTTTAACTGCATTTCCTCAGTTAAGTTCTCCTTTTCGATCAACGGAATTATTGCTGGTAAGGTGGCTCCTTCTCGGGGATTAAGGCAGGGATGTTCTTTATCGCCTTATCTCTTTATCTTGTGTGCTGAAGGTTTTTCGGCAATCATTCGACGTGCTGAAATTTCAGGTGAAATATTGGGTTTGCGATGTAGTCGTTTGGGGCCCCGTATCTCTCTTATTTGCCGATGACTCGATTATTTTTGCCAAAGCTCATGTCCCAGAAGCATCAGTTATCAAGAATATTCTCCAAAGGTACGAATTAGCATCGGGACAAAAAATAAATCTGGGGAAGACGGCTATTACCTTTTCTCCAAATACCTCTGTTTCTAGCCGTAACGACATTTGGACATTATTCGGTATTCTTAATCCTTCCTCGCACAGTACATATTTAGGTCTTCCTTCATTGGTGGGGCGTGATAAAATGCGTACTTTTGCGACTATTCGAGAAAAAATTTGGAAAAGATTGCGAGTTTGGAATCAAAATTTATTCTCCGTTGGCGGCCGAGAAATATTAATAAAGGCGGTGGTCCAAGCTATACCAACTTATATGATGAGTTTGTTTCGTGTTCCAGTGGGTATTTGTGATCAGATTAATCGAATCATTTGCCGCTTTTGGTGGGGAGCTCGAGATAACGAACGGAAATTGGCATGGATCTCATGGTCTAAATTGGCAGAATCCAAATTTAAAGGAGGAATGGGCTTCAGGGACTTGCAACTCTTTAATCAATCTTTGTTGGGTAAACAAACATGGAAAATCCTCATATTCCTTGACTCTTTAGTGGCTCGTGTGCTAAAAGCAAAATACTTTCCTAATGGTAATTTTCTCGATTCTATTGCTCGGCCAAACTCATCTCATCTGTGGAAGAGTCTACTTTGGGGGCGTGAGGTTGTTAAAGCAGGTAGTAGGTGGAGGATCGGTAATGGCTCTAACGTCAAAATCTATACAGATTCGTGGATTCCTCATCATTATTCTTTTCGACCTTTTTCTCATGCGGTGCTGGGAGTTGAACGCGTCCAGGACCTTATTGGCATTGGCGGATCGTGGAATTATGATCTGGTGAATCAAATTTTTCTTCCCATAGATGCTCAAAAAATTCTTGCTATTCCCCTCGGTGATCAAACGAGTGCGGACCGTTTAATTTGGCATTTTGAGAAAAATGGAAACTACTCGGTACGCAGTGGTATCAACTCCTTAAAAACTTACGTGAGACTTCCTTGGGTTCGAGTTCATCGGCTAATGACACTTGGTGGAAAGCGCTTTGGAACCTTCGTCTTCCGTAAAAAATTAAAATTTTTCTTTGGAAAGTTTCCCTTCTAGCATTTCCATCATGTGAAAATTTAGTTCGGAGACACATTGTTCTGGATAATAGGTGTTGGCGTTGTGGCTCAAGAGAGACAAATTCTCATCTATTTTTTTATTGCTCCTGGGCGAAGAAAATGTGGAAATACGCGGGGTGGTGGAGGACTATTTCTAGACTCCAAGGTATGGACTTCATCTCTTTATTCCTACATATTTTATCGACAGATCAAGTAATGGATTTTAGGAACTTTGCGGTGGGAATTTGGCTTATTTGGCACGAACGCAATCGTCTTCGTAAAAAACTTCAAGCAACGAGTCCAGAACAAGTTTGGGAGTTTGGTTTATCATGGTTAAAAGAGTTTGATTATGCTCAATCGGGGCTGCTTGACAATGGCCAGAAACTAAGTCGGGACTTGCTTAGTTCTTGGGAAAGGTCGGGAACGTGTTATAATGGTTGGTCTCTTTTGTGTGATGCGGCTGTTCGGGAAACATGAATAGGTTTGGGAGGATGGATTCAGGACTCAGAGGGAGTTTGTCAGGCTGCTTTTACTTTGTATATCCAAGGCGCATTTTCTCCTTTGATGGCGGAAGCTATGGCTATTCGTTATGGACTCCGATTTGCATGGGATTCAAATATCAAAATTCAAGAGGTTCTAACAGATTCTTTAGGTGTTGTTGGAGGAATCGCTCAAATGGAAGAATTCGACCCCCTCTTTGAGGTTTATTCGGATATTCGGAAACTTCTATGTCACCTGGATTGTAGTAAGTGTGAACATATCCCCCGAGTGTCGAACCAGGTGGCCCATAAAATTGCAAATTGGGCGGTAGTGTCTCATTTTTCTTTTTCTTGGAAGGACTCTCTTCCTTTTGTTTTTTCATCTTTCTTTATGGATGTATTGAACATTTAATATGCTTGAATGCAAAATTCTATTTCAAAAAAACAAAATAAAAAAGTTGGCGAAGGCAAGCATATATAGTCAACCTGTATATGGTCAAGACATTAACTAGGAAAAAAAAACATAGGTCTACACGAAGTCCAATCATAACCGAAAGTAGAAACGAGACAAAGGAAAAACAAGCACAAAAAATATAGGGTGGTGACAAGAATCTAACGAGGGGAAGCCCACTTAGTCCATTCTCACAAGAGTCTAATAGCAGAGAGGGGCGTCATCCAGGTGGAAGGTGTGTCTCTGTGGGGTGAAGGCACCTAGGCTGGTCAGGTAGTCAGCAGGTGGGTTCTCCTTGCGGAAGATGTGCAAGATTCAGTAGCGAATCGACTAAAGTATGGATTTGCGCATGGGCGATGCTGAATCTGCCACGAGCCCTAATGGGCTGAGGTCAAGAGGGTGGCGATAGTGACATCATACAACTCTATTCAAATGTGAGTAGAGATAGAGGCTGCAATTTGAAGACCGATTTAAAACGTCTTAACCTTCGTGTCGTAGCTTGAGGAGGCTTGAATATGGGCATGGAAGGCGATAGTGAATGTTCCGTTGTGATCCCTAATCATGTCCCCGCCTCCGACAGCTCCAGTTAATCGGTCAAAGAATTCGTTAGTGTTTAGCTTAACCCAAGGGCTGTCGGGTCACAACGAAACGACTCTGGGGCGTGAGTGCTGGATAGGCGGCAGCGGAGATGGTACGAAGAGATGGGGCGGCGTGCAACCTGTCAAGTCAAGTGTGAGTTTGCCCAGAGATGTGAAGAGAGAGAGAGATGCCGATCAACCTGCAAAATAACGTGAGAGCACATAAAAGTAATATCCCTATGCTTCACACTATTCTTTTCTGTCCAGATGAACCACAAGATCAGACAAGGAATGAGGAAGCCCACGTGTCTAAAGTGTGTGCGCTGTGAGAAAAAACTCAGGAGTACTAAAAAACAGTATGTAATGGATAGGGTTATATAAGTATAAGTGGTAAAATGCTCTCACACTCTCCTCGCAACCTCGCTATGTAAAAACAAATGAGAAAAAGTCTCAGTCTCGGCACAGTAGTAACACCGCGAAAGAAAGGAAAACTTCCTCGCCTGCAAGACAGAGTCAATCGGAATCCAGCACAGAAGAAGGCGCCAAAGAAAGACAGAGATGGTCCAAATGGGCTCGAAGAGAAGGTTAGGCCGGTCACCCAGCCGTACTTCCCCCCAAGCC